GGAGAACTGTCTTATCTCCAGGTTGATATTCATGGCAGGACTGAAACAGTAGGAAAGAACTGCAGCTACAGTCTCTATTTAGTTAATTGAGTTTGGGGCCAAGTGTCCTCAGCTGTGGCCTTATCTTGTCCTTTGAGGTGTCACTGGCATCACGGACCACTACAGGCTTCAGCCAGGACCACTGATTCATAGAGGTTCACTTACTATGAGTCTGTTGCCCATCTCCAGACAAGGGGCTTAGGCCTGGGACAGACTCACAAACCTAGAAAGCCAACAGGTTAATTTCAAATCCTGTTCAGAGCAGCTTTGTAGCGGTCTCCATCAGGGTCTCCATCATCAAATCTCTGTGTTTTTAACTTGCATCTCTCAAATGACCAGTAATGTTGAACATTTTTTCATATGTTTACCATTTCTACTTCTTCATCTGAGATCTGTTTGTTCATCTCAGATGCTTATTTTTGAATTGAATCTTTAAATTTGAGGGAGTCTGGTTGGTTGTTTGTTATTATTCTAGACATTAGCTTTTTGAGGAACATCTGGCAAAAGGTTTTCCTACTCTACGAATGGTCTTTTTACTCTGTTGGTGGTTTCTTTTACTGTACAAAAGCTTTTTAATAAGATCCCAGTTATTGGTGTTTTTTGTGATAGTTCCTGTGCAAACATAGATTTGTTCATAAAGTCTTTACCTATACCAATGTCTTCAAGAGTTCTACCTAGTCTATCTTCCAGCAGATTTAGTATTTGTTTTGATATTTAGATTTTTGATTCTTTTAGATTTTAGTTTCCTGGGAATTAAACCTTAGGAAAGATAGGGGTCTAGTTTTAATCTTCAGCCTGCAGAAATCCAGTTCTTCCAGCACCATTTTGTTAAAGAGTCTGTCTTTCTTTCAGTGAAGGTGTTTGGCTCCTTTGTCAAACATAGTGTGGTTGAGTGTTTAGGTTATTTCTGCATCTTCTAATCTGTTTCACTGATCCTCAGGTCCAGCTTTTTTGCTTTGTTTTGTTTTTGAGGGGGTGGGTTTTGTTTGTTTTTGCCAAAACATACACATCATAGCAGATTTTTTTTATTGGTACATTTTAGATACACTTAGTGATAGCATTCATCATAGATAATATGTACCTGTAATTGTAAATCGTTATTACAGCAGCTTTGTGGTATTTCAAGTCAGGGATTGTAATGCCTCCTGCCTTGCCTTTATTGCCATGAATTTGTTTTTGCTAGCCTAGGTCTCTTCAGGTTCCAAATGAATTTTAGGATTGTTTTCTCTAATTCTGTGAGATAGGCTGTTGGGTTTTTTGTTTTTTGTTATTGTTGTTGTTGTTTTTTGTACCAGGGATCAAACTCACATCCTTGTGCTTGCCAGGCAGGCACTTATACCACCAAGCTAAATCCCTGGCCTGCTGTTCGTATTTTAAGCAGGATTGCATTAAATCTGTATAACAATTTTGGAAGTATGGCCATTTTCACTGTATTGGTTCTTCCTACCCAAGAACAAGGGATATCTTTCTGATATCCTCTTTAATCTCCTCTTTCAAAATACTGTAGTTTTCAACATACAAGTCTTTTACTTCCTTTGTTAGATTGATCCCTAAGTATTTCTTTTTTTTTTTTTTTTTTGGATGCTATTGTAAAAGATGTGGTTTCCCTAATTTCTCTGACAGTTTGTTATTTGTATACAGGAATGCTACTGACTTTTGAGTGTTGACTTTGTACCCAGCTACACTATTGAATTAAATCTACAAGTTTTTAGAAGGTTTTTGGCGTCTTTATGTAGAGTATAACATCATTTGCAAATAATGATAATTTAATGTCTTCCTTTCCTATCCTGATTCCTTTCCTTTCTCCTGCCTAATTTCTCTGGCTAATATTTCCAGAACTACACTGAATAAGAATGGTGACAAAGGACATCTTGTCTTAATTCCTGATTTTAGAGTGAATGCTTTCAGGTTTATCCATTTAGTATGATGTTGGCAGTTGGTTTGTCATAGATAGCTTTTATCACTAGTTGTTTAAAGGTACAGACTTTTGTGGGGTTTTATTTGATTTGGTTTGGTTTTGGGGGGCTTTTTGAAGTGGGGCCTCCTTACCATGTTGCCCAGGCTGGACTTCAGCTCCTAGGCTCAAGCAATACCTCCCCAGCCTCTAACTAAGCCTAACTTTAGAGTTTTGATTTTGTAAAACAGAATTATGGAAATGGATGAAACAATGTTGGTACAACCTCATGGGTGCATTTAACACCACTGAAGAGGATAATTATTATTATTTTTTTTTTTTTTTTGGCTTTTTCCTTTTTATCGGTACCAGGGATTGAACTCACGACTGCCTGCTTGCAAGACAGGCGCTTATGCCGCTGAGCTAAATCCCCAGCTGAAGAGGATAATTAAAAACAGTCACAATGGTAGCTTTCACACTCTATGCACATTATTACTGTTCTGTTTTGGTTTGAGATAAGGCCTCCTTCTGTAGACCAGAGTGGCCTCAAATTTGTGATTCTATATTTGTGCATTTTATCACAAGTTTTCAAAACTGAAGAAAAAGGAAAATTCTGCCATACTTACTAGCATTCTATTCACATTTGATATAGAGGAAATTCAAGCAAATCTTGTGTCGCTGCATTCTGGAATAAGGAATTCCCTGGAGACACAGTCACAAACAAGACCTCAGCCAATATAAGTCTGGGAACTAGAGGTGGGCACAACAACACACAGCCCCCAGAAGTTATCCCAGTGGCCAGCCCCACTTCTTCCCACCCTGCCCACAATACGTCCTTAATGCAAATCCAGGAGACATCAAGTCTCAAGATTAAGCAGGAGGGTGACCCCAGGTAGGCCATAGTTACTGGTCCAGGTTGAAGGTTTGGTCAGAATTTCTCAAAAGTGATGAAAGCAGAGCCAGGCATAATCACTTACTCCTATAATCCCAGCCTTAAGGAGACTGAGACAGGAGGATCCTTAAGAATTCGAGGCCTGCCCGGCCTACATGGTAAGTTCAAGACCATCCTAAACTAGATAGTGAGGCCCTGTCTCAAAAAAATAAATAGACAAAAGTCCTCAAAAGAGAAAGCTCCTGAGGTCCTGTGGGTATGTCTTTGCAGATGCAAAAATAGTGCAGTATTTGTTGGGGGAGATCATACACATGGAGAGACTGGACCTATAAAAGAATGCAATAGAAGATGAATCCAAGGAAACTGTCAGAAGACTGCTCTCCTCAAGCCTGGGGACAACAGGGGTGTCCCCCAGACAGGAACTCAGTCTAGAAACCCACCTTTTGTCCTCTGACCAAGGGTTCTCCTGGAGGCCAGAAGTAGTAAGCAGCAGAGTCCTGGGCCTTAGCCCACAGAACGGAGGCGTGAGGTGGGTAGCTCTTTGGGGTCCAGCCCTCAGCACTCTGAGTCCCCTCTGGGACGTCTCTCCTCAAAGGTCCCTACCTTGTCACTGCTCTCAGGTTTCATCCTTTGCTCAGAACCTGTTGCCACCCCCTCTCCTTCCCTGTCTTGGGATAAGACCAACAGAGAAGTTTAGTTTGATGTTGACTTTTTTGTTTTGCTTATTTGCTTTGTGGTACTGGAGTTTAAACACAGGGCCTCACCCAAGCTAGACAAGCACTCTGTCACTGAGCTAAAACCCCACCCCTTTTTATTTATTTTTATTTTGAGACAGGGTCTACTAAACTGCCCAGGCCCGGCCTTGAACTTGAGATCCTCCTGCCTTAGTTTCCCAATTAGCTGGAATTACAGTTGTGCGTCACAAGACCTGGCTGACAGTGAAGACATTTACCAGAACGTAGGAACGAGGTGAGACTGTTAGTGACAGCAAAGTCCTCCTGCCCCTAAGTTACACTCTAGGTGGGAGGAATCTTGCAGAAAGTCCCACCAGATAGTGAGAAGGATGGTTTTCCACAGCTGTCCACATGGCGACCGTATGTGGCTTCACATTTGAGTGGAGCCCCCCTAAGGAGCTGTAGAGGGGCTATGGAAGGCAGGGTGGAAAAAATGAAGAGAAAGGAAACTGAAGAGTGAGATGGAGAGAACAGATCTAACAGATCTACCAGGTGCGACCACAGGGCTGTGACATTTCATGAGCAGGGTGGAAACAACTGCAAAACCCCAAACGCAAAGAGCCCAGGACAAGCAGGCCACACCTGTCACTGCCAGGAGAAGGACAGAGAGGGCACACTTCACTCTCCAGTTGGCAGAACACAGGGACCCACATCAGACTTCCCAGGAGAACTGGGAAACAGGAGAGAGGTGACCCACACAGAAACCATCCAAGTGCCCAAGTCCGGGAAGGGAGAGGCCTAGGTGCTCCAGGACACAGTGACAACCCAACCAGCAGAGAGGGGAGGGTGAAGATGGCCACAGGGGGAGCAATAGCGGTGCCTGTGTCACAGGCTGGCATGAAGATCACACAGTGTGACCCGAAGGGACACAAGCCTAAGACCCTTGTCTTTGATTTCAAACAGCGCTGCAGCAGGCTCTCTCGGCCTTGATAGCAGATCTTGATTCATGCAAGCCTAGGTATGCCCTGAGCCGTCCAACTTAGCGCATCCAACAGCTGTGCCATAGCAGTGCTGTCTGACCATCAGCGCTGCCAGCTCCAGCGAGGGTCCTGGCTTCCAAAGTTTAACCAACTCCAAGACTCTCAGAGAAAAGTCTGAGGATCTCAAGGTCAGTTCCCCTTCCTTCTTTGAACTGCTCATCTCTGAAAGAAGGGATAGAGAAGGGCAGAGGGGAGATACACAGATTAGCTAGTAAATGAGACAGGGGGTCAAGTGGGCATCTGGGTGTCCAAGTTTGCAAATAAGAGAGGTGGGCGACTACATATGGCCACATTTTTTGTAAAAACTCCTCAGAAACAGAGAAAGAGAGAGAGAGAAACAAGGAGAGGAAATACCTTTGAAGAACAGGGTGTTTCAGTTTGCCCTTTAACACCCTCCTCCCTGCTACTCAGAAAAGGGGAGGAGGAAGAGGATGCTAAAAAAAAAAACAACACCCAGCCACAGCAGAGCTGCGACTGCCAGCCAAGTCCAGCTTGCTACTGAAGCGGGGCAGCTCGGAAACCGTGGCTGCTGCCCAGGAAGGGCAGTGAGGCACCTGCACCCAGTGGTCAGCTACCAACAGGCAGGCGCAGCCCTCTGGATGACAGCCATGGTCTGGCCACCTCCTGGCTGGCTCTGTGTGCTGGGGACCCTGCTGGGGCTCTCAACTGCCCTAGACCCCAGGAGCTGTCCAGAGAGGCACTACCGCTCTGCAGAGAAGCTGTGCTGCCAGATGTGCAGGCCAGGTATGTGGGGACAGGACCTGCAAAGGTGAGAGGAATATTGTGACGGTCCCATTGCCCCGCGAAGAGGGATGAGCAGTCTCCCGCAGGCCTGACCCTGGGTCCTCTGCTCACAGGGACATTCCTGGTGAAGGATTGTGACCAGCACTCAACAGCTGCTCAGTGTGACCCGTGTAAACCAGGTCTTTCCTTCTCTCCAGACTACCACAGCCGGCGCCACTGTGAAAGCTGTCGCCACTGTCAAGGTGAGACAAGGGAAGGGTGTGCGGGTGGTGACCCTGGGAAATAACACCAGCTCTGGAGAAGCAGAGTGGGAGGTCAGTACTGGGAAGGGACTGGGTACTGGGTACTCTCGGTAAGGCAGGTGTCAATGTGGGATTATCTATAATCTCAGGAGAGGGAAGAGCAGAGTTTAAGGGGCTGGTGAGATGGGTCCCAGGGATAAGATCCAGACAACAGAAAGTAACATGGCTGGTATGGTAGTCCCAGCCTATAATCCTAGCTCCTCAGGAAGCTGAAGTAGGAGGGTCACCTGAGCCCAGGAGTCCAAGGCCAGCCTGAGCAATACAGAAAAAAAAAAAGTGTATGCAAAGAGGGAAGTGACTCTGGGACCCATATTTTCAACAAGTAACCAACTTCCAACTGATAAAACACTGTGTTCACAGATTTTGTATTTGTAAGTCAGCTATGTAATACTTCCAATACATCTTTCTAAGAAAATAATATAAGCCAGGAGGTAACGATGTTTATTTGCATAAATGTCTTTTATTTGCAGGGGGGGAGGGGGATGAGCATGTATGTGCACTGAGTTTTTATTATTTCGTAACCTTATCTCTTTTAAGATTGAGACATGGAACCTATAGTTATGAACTCTTATTATTTCCTCATCTTAGCTAAAAATTCAGAAATTATGTCAGAATACACGACAGCAGGCTTTAAAGTGGTCCCTTTGAACTAGCAACATTCCTCTTCCCTGGAATTACTAAACCACCTAGTAGTACACTGTTTGGTCCCACAAGGTCTTTTACCACTGTGTTCTTTCCAAAAGAAAACTTTTGTGACTACAAATCAAAGAGCTTCATTTTGTAGCTCCGTGGTAAAGTGTGAACTAAACATGCACAAGGTCTTGGACTCCATCCCAGCACCACACACACACACTCAAGCAACAACATTAATGTATGAGAAACAGTTCTCAAAAAGCTTTGAGCTGTGATTGTCAACAGATGCTTTTTCTCTTCCTGGCTGCAGCCTCAGCAGGGTTGCCTTTTAGTCAGTCTCCCTGGCTCACTCTGCAGGTTCTGTCAAAGGCTTTTGCTTTTTTTTTTTTTTAACCAGGGATCGAACACAACCTTCCTCTTGCCAGGCAGGTGCTGATGCCACTGAGCTAAATCCCTGGCCCTATCAGAGGCCTTTTCCTCCAGGACTGAGCCAGTCTTGGCCCCTGTTCTTATTCTGGGCTCACAATCTATACACAGGTCCCCTCTGGGAGACTCATGTGGGAGACAACTCCAGTGACTCCTTTTGAATCCAAAACAATTGTTGTAATTTTGAATACTTGGAGACTCATTTCCTTATAATGATATGTAACAGGCTGGCTAGGGTATTTCCTTCTCTTCAACTGGCTCTGAGCATTACAAATAAGGCTAGCGGAGGTGCTAATACGCAAGATCTATAGCCATCAGATAGTCCTGTTACCTCCATCAGATAGTCCTGTTACCTCGCATGGTGCTCTCCACAACAGGATTGAGCTGGCGAGATGTTAGAGCAAACAGCTCCAGGAATGTCCACTGAGTACACCCTCAAGATAAGAGGCTATGACTTCCCACAACATAAGAATTTGCATATCAGAAACCAAAGCGATAGCCCCCCAAAACAATTCCACTGTTATCTTAATTGGGTTATGTAAATTGATCCTTCTGCATATCTTTATCTCTGCAAATTATAGAGATGCCATTCTAGCCAGCCAGCTCATTAATCAGTAATCCCTGACATCCTCACTATCACTCATCCCTGAGCCACCCCCCCACTTTCTTCACAAGATAATAACTGCTGAGAGGCCTAGGATCAAGGCCTTTGTCTGCATGTCCTCCTGAGGATTGGATTTAGGACCCCTTGGCTGCCCTTAATTTGGAACATGTCTTGGTGTCTTTACTCTCGCCGTGGGTTGGGTTGTTGATGGTAGATTGGAATTAACTTGCTCGGATTCCAATAATGTCTCAATGGGATCACAAATATAACTTTTGGATTGTGAGGAAAACTAGAAAGAGGATTACAATACTTGAATGACTGAACTCGATATTTGGGTTTACAATAACTCAGGCTTTGGATCCCAGATACTCAAGGCAGCACCTGGCAGAAGGACCCTGGGGACCATGGCACAGTGTACCTGGCATGCTCACTTTCATTCTCTCTCTGTCTGTCTCTGTCTCTTTCTTTCTCTCTCTCTGTCTCTCTCTGTCTCTGTCTGTCTGTCTGTCTCTGAGTGTGTGTTTGCATCTTTAAGGGGAGGAAGTGCCTGAAATCAGCTCTCCTTTGGCTTCTGTGCACAGGTTAGACAGGTAAATGGCTACTCACCTCTGCAGGCAAGGGTACTTCATCCACGGTGAGGAGCCCTGCACCTTCCTCAGCCCTGCCCCTCTCTTTCCACAGACAGCCTCATGAGCCACCCACCCGGCCACTCTTGTATCCTCTCGCTGTCCCTGGCATCTCCCACTCCTCCCCAGTGCATCTTTGTCCAGGCTGGCTCACAGTGCCTGGTCAGCCACAAAGACATTAAGTTCTATAGCAACCCAGAGTCAGAATTCAGAAGAGGCCACGGGGTGGTAAGAATGGGAAAGAACCTGTCTCTCCCACATCCTGACAAAAGGCATAAAGAAAGGAAGTATTAGAGTGAAAGTGTTCTTTGGCACCCTCCCTTCCCAGGCCCTTCTTCCACCTGTCATAGCTCCCCAGACATCAAGGTCCCAATGAGTGTGCAGCCCTGAGGCTCCTGCTCAAGCCTGTCCCACATCCAGGTGTGGCTGTCCTCCGAATCACCCTTCTCTCAGCCCCAACCACCTGCCAGTCCAGCCCAGAGCCCCCTATCACCACCAGCACCTGACTCCCACACTGAAGTAAAAATCACATTTTAAAGGCAAAAGAGCCACGTGCAACGGTACCTGTCTGTAATCCCAGCACTCAGGAGGCTGAGGCAGGAGGATTACTGAAAGTTCAAGGCCAGCCTGGGAAAGGTCAAGGCCAGCTCAAGCTACATAGTAACTACATAGTGAGACCTAGTCTAAAAAAAAAAAAAAAAAAAAAAAAAAACCTAAAGGATATTCATAATCAGTAACTCTCTAGTAAAGTTCAAAACCTATCAGACATCACAGCAACACCATTCCTAACTGCTGAAATCCGGAAACGTCACTTGGTGATGGGTTCCTGCAGCACCAAGAGCGAACACACTGCAATTCCAGTCAGCCCCAGGGATGAACTACACAAGGGGTTCAGGAAAAGAAGCCAGCAGAAATAGGTCCATACGGCACGATCCCACCTATAGCTTGTACTTAGGATGCATGTGTGTATTTCTCTGTATATACATCACATTCCAATAGAAAGTAAAGTACCCATGAGTAATGGAAGAAATGATGTAAGTTCTTTCTGCTTTGCAGCTTCCACTTCTGAGCCTAAGAGTGTTCTGAAATGGACCAGCTTTCTTTTTTAGTAACAACCCTAATAACAGCGAAGGCCATGGGTGACCACGGGGGAGGGCAGCCCTCGTGGGGGCTGGGTGCGGCAGAGGGAATGGAAAGGGGTCACGTCCCCCGAGGTGGGCCTAAAATGGGGGTGGGGACTGAGCACGTGGACCTGCAGGTGGCTGAAGCCTGAGGGTCCTCTGCCCTTCCTCTTTTGCCAGGTGTCTCCACTCGCAACTGCAACGTCACCACCAACACCCAGTGTGCCTGCCCCCAGGACTGGCAGTGCAGGGACACGGAGTGCACCGAGTGTGACCCTCTTCCAGGCCTGACCATTCTTCCCGCTGCTGCCCAAGACGCACACCCTCTACCTGACCACCCAGCTTACACCAAGAGTAAGTTCTGGCCCCGTCCCCAGTGTCCAGTCACTTAGGGTAAGGGTGACGCCTCCGTCAGTGCTCCCCACTCCCACACCCACCCCAGACAGCTTCCTGGCCAGCCTGCTCCTGCCTTCCCGGCAGTACATGGGCCTACAGCCCAGGATGTCCTAGGGGGCTCATTCAGGCTATTTTCCCAGAAGTGCTGGAGGTCAGGTCAGGGTCATGCAGACTCCTGCTGAACCAGGCAGCTGCCAGCTCTCAGCACCTCCTGGGCTTGTGAGCTTTCTCCCTAATCCCCATTCCCAGAGAGAAAGCAGAGGTCAGGCAGGACGCTTCCATGAGGAGGGAACACAGAGAACTGATAGGGACCGGGCAGCAGGGTAGAAGAGAGAGGCAGGGGTGACAGGAGGGCGGGGCCAGACTCCCCATAGCCCCCGTGTGCCCTGCCTCTCACAGCCCAGGGGCCCCTGTGCAGCTCAGACTGTGTCCGTGTCTTCATGATCTTCTCCGGAATGCTTCTGGTTTTCACCCTCGGCGGAGCCCTGTTTCTCTACCAACAGAGAAGATGCCAATCAAGTAAGACACCGAACCCAGGCTTTCCATCCTTGCCCTATGCCACACCCACCACCTCAGCCCCGCTGTCCGCACCTGGAACCCCTGTGAAGCCTCCACAGCCCCAGTTCCACCAGCCCAGTCCCCACTTTTCCATCCCTCATCTCCGGCACCTTCTCGGCAGCCCCAAGCTCACCCTCCTTAGCAACTGTCCTCCTGCTTCACTTCCTCTCTCCACTTCACTCTTCTGTAGACAAAGGAGCAAACCCAGAGGAGTCTACAGAGCCCTGTCCTTACAGCTGCCCCCGCGAGGAGGAGGGCCACACAGTTCCCATCCAGGAGGACCACCAAAAGCCAGAGCTGCCTTCCTACCCCTGACCAGTCAGGCAGGAGGGAATGGCTGACCACAGGAAAGCTTTGGCCTCCTCTGCTCCGGTGGCCATCCAAAGCAACATCAGGAAGGATTCCAGTCTCTTCTTTCCTCAAGACCTTTTGCCTTGACAAAGTGCCTTCTTAGACTGGCTGTGACAAGGACTTGAGCCCAGCAAGTCTGGCCCCTGCACTGCAGGAGGGCCTAGGTTCTGGCTGTAAAATACACTTCTGGTGGTGAAAGCCCTGAGTGCTATATTCCTGTCTCAAAAAAACAAAGACAAAATGGACAAAACAGAAGTGACAGCAGTGTTTCTCTGACATGACAAACTGAAAGTGTAAATAAGGACCAAAATGTATATTAGGTATTGTGAAATAGGAAGAAAATGTTCAAATAGAAAGGGAACAAGGAAGAGCTGAGGGAGAAAGAAAAGAAGGAAAAAGTAAAAAAAAGAGAGAGAGAAGGGAAAAATGGAAACAAAGCTTTTTGTAAATGGGGAGGGGTTGAAGGGAGGGTAGAGAAATGGAGAAAAACAATCAAGTTATATCATGTACAGCTACAAATTCCCTATGATGAATGTGATCATTATGTGTATCTAAAATGTACCAATAAAATGTGATTGGAGAAAAAAAGTGATGGCCTCCCGCACCTAAGCTTCCCAGCCTCCGCTCTGCAGGTCCAGTCCCCGGAGTGCAGCTCCCAGCCTGAGGCGGGACAGAGTGAGCGTGGCCCCAGCAGAAAAGGAGGCCAGCGGCCGGCCGCGCTCGGCTTCCGCTCTGGCTGCGTCCCCTGCCCCTTCCGCACAGTTTACAGCCGCACCTTCCTAGGGCTCTAGCGAAGCAAATGAGCGCGGTGAAACCAACTGCAGACCTGGGATTCAAAGAAAGAGGAATAACAGCCGCAGGCCTCCGGCAGCTATAGTCAAGCTTTGCCAGTAACTAGGAAAATGAAAGCGAAAGAGAAGTTCAAAGAGAACTGAGAAGAACCCACAGGCCAAGCCAGGGGTGTCCTGAGAGCGCTCTCCTCCAGCCCAGGCCGGTCCCCAGCAGCAGGGGGTGGCCGTGGGCACAGCAGCCGCCCAGGAGAGAGAGCAGCCCCATGGGCGCGGAGCGGGGCTGGCGGCTGCTGCTGTACGTGGCTGTGGCTGTGGCTGTGGCTGTGGCTGTGGCTGGGTCCGGAGCGGCGGGAACCGGTGAGTCTGGTCGGGAGAACTGGCTGCGAAGCGCAGCCTCCGATCCGATCCCCCAGATGGCCGCCCCCTAGGGCCGGTTCTAGGACCACCAGGCAGGAGGCTCACGGCCGGCAGGTTAAGGAGTCCACGGTGTGGGGAGCGGGGCTGAGCACCCCGCAGGACAAAGGGTAAAAGAGCTCCTCTCCGGAAGTGGAAGGGGAGCCACTGTCCCAGAGGGGAGAAGGCCCCGGCCTGAGAGCGGACTCCCCAGCCTAGCAAATCTCTCTGGCGGGGACTCTGGGTAGGGCGGGAGGCCACCGCATTTGGCTGGGTGCAGAGCGGACTCAGGCGCTGCTGGAAACTGGGAGACGGCTGTGGCTGACCGGCAAGGCGCTGCCTGGCTCCTCCCCCATAGCAGTTGCTCGCTTGTTTTTGCTGAGAAGCCTGGCTGAAAAGCAGTCTTTCTTTTGTAATTAGAATAAAAGTGTAAACTCTTCTGAGCAAGGCTGATTCAGGATTTTAAATCACAGCAGCCGGCACAGAGACACATACCTGTAATCCTAGCAGACTGAAGCAGGAGAGTGGTGAGTTCAAGGCCAGCCTGAGCTATATAGCCAGACTCTGTCTCAAAAAAAAAAAAAAAAAAAAAAAAAACCACACACACACAATTTTTTTTTTCCACAGTGAAGCCAGGCATGTTGGCACAGGCCTGTAATCCTAGCAGTGAGGCAGGAAAATCACTGTGCGTTCAAGGCAAGCCTGGGCAACATAGTGAATTCAAGGCCAGCCTGAACTACATTGTAAGACTATCTCAAAAAAAAAAAAAAAAAAACCAAGAATTAAATAATCATCATCATCCACACCAAGTATTTGCCCAGCATGGCAAGCCAGGTAGATGACAGAATACTGGAACAGAGTGATAGAATTTTCAGTGCAAAAGGGAACCATCGAATAGATTTTTGGCACGGCTGAAAAGATAAGAATTATGAAATAAAAGTGACCTTTATTTTAAGAATGTGGGGAGAGACTCCATGACCTCCAGGGTCTGGCATTCTCTCCGCCAGACATGTGGTGTGGGGGCATACATGTAGCTTAGGTTTGGGGTGGTGCCTAAGGGGCATTAGTGATGCACAGGTAGCCAAATGGTATTCATTTAGCGTCACAGGTAAGTTGCCTAGGGGCGGGGAAAGGTGACCTCAAGATAGAGCCCCTTGGTTCCGCCTCCAAGGCTTCACTGGCTACAGCATTCCATCTGGAGCCAAAACCTTTCACAGAGAGACACCTAGGACCCCAAAGACAACTCTAACCGCTCAATGAGTCTATTTGAGGTATTCAGGTGGGAAGCAGGTGTGGAGTAATCTTCTGAGCAAGACAGTGCTCACCCAAGAATGTCCCCTGCAGAGTCCCAGGTGGCAGACAGACAGCTGCGGGCAGTGGATGTGATCTTAGAATGCGTCCTGGTAATAGAAGCTGAGCACCCCAGGGCTTTTGCCAGTGATGTGAACAGGAAGAAGGCCTTGCTGGTGCTGAAGCAGGTGCCAGTGCTGGACGATGGTTCTCTGGAAGGCTTCACTGACTTCCAACAGGACACAGTGGCGAAGGATGACTCACTTGTTGTCTTTGAGGCCTCAGGTAAACGCCATCCACCCTGTGTTCCTGTCCTTCTGGGCTCCATCCCCTGGGACAGCCCACCTGTCCCTGCCCCCACCTAACCCAGCCTCTGTGTGTCCCTTTCTCCCCAGTGAACGGGGTAGAGATTCCGCAGGCTGCAGCCCTGCTCCACGCTGACTGCAGTGGGAAGGTGGTGAACTGTGAGATCTCCCAATACTTTTTCCAGACCAGACCCGAAGCCATTTGGTTCATGGCCAATGTGCAGGTATCCAAACAGGGACCCAGTGTCTCCATGGTGATGAAGACCGTCAGGGATGCAGACGAAGGGGCTGTCCAGCAGCTCACACTGAACTTGCTCCTGAGCCTCCAGAGGACTGTGCGGACCACAGGTGAGGACATAAAAAGCAAACATGCAAATAGCAGGAAAAAAAATTATGTTTCTTTAAAGGGGCAAGAGATGCAATAGAAGGGACAGAGGCCACTTCCATTTATGACATGAGTCGGCTCAGATACTGAATCCAGAGAGGAGAATGCTGGGAGGCCCACAAGTTGAGAGAGGGTCTCAGCACAAAGAAAAGCTGTGCATCATCTCCAAAGGGCGATGATTTCATCTCACCCGGATGCTGTGGCCCAATGGGTCACGAAAGGCTTTTCTATTCACATACACTGTCCCTTGCAGCCCTACTGAGGAAGCACCAGTTTTGTCCCAGAGAAAAGTTAGGTTAGTCTGGTGCTACAAAGTAATTACAGCAAAGCACAGAGGCACAGAATTGTTCATTATCTCCTATCACCTTAGCAGCACATAAGCCATTTTCTCGGTTAGTAACGCCCAGCCCTGGCCCTCTGTAACTCAGCATGTCCTAAGTCACACAAAGTGCTGACAGGTTTCTCCAGAGCCCACCTAAACCAATATTTTGCCAGTCATGTACATAGAGATGAGAGGGTTGTTCTTCTATCCTTGGAAAGTTAGAACACTAACCTTTCTGAGGCCCAAACTAAATGCCTCCTGCCACATCAGAAAAGGATACTAGCTGGGCATGGTGGCATATTCCTATAATTTCAACCCTTAGAAGGCTGAGGCAGGAGGATCTTAAGTTTGAGGCCAACTTGCACTCAGCTTGGATAGGACTCACTAGCTAAGGACTCACACAGCCCGACTGACCCTGTCAAAGAAAGGGAGCAAGGGAAGGGGGGAAAATGAGAGGGAAAAGGAGAGAAGGACATCTGCTGAGTGTCTAATGTAAGCCTGACATGGTTTGGTATTGCTGCTGTTTTAGATTTTTCTAACCTACAAAAAACATGGAAGAATAATATAAAGCCCATATAGCCCCTTTGCCTAGAGATTCACTAGTTAATATTCTGCTTGTTCCCCCGTGCTTCTTCCAACATGCAAATAGATCCATCTCTATCCTTGAATGCTAGGTTTTTCAGGCACAATAGAGAAGCAAAAAACAAGAAAAAAAGGTCTTTATGAGGATGTGGACAGAAGTATATAACTCATGGGGCTGGGCTTCTCCTCTGGCCAGAGAGAAACCGGGCGGAAGGTTGTATAATCTCTGGCCAGAGGCAGGGTTTGGGGCAAGCGTTGATGATGTGTGAGGAACTAATTGGAACTTTCTTGTGTGAAAGAGGAAGTTGTAATCAGGGCTGAGAGGGAAGGAGGAGGAAGTGGTTATCAGGGTGAAAAGCTCTGTTGTTTTGGCCTTCCGCCATGTTACACCGCCGCCATAATATTCAGTAATTTATACTAGGCAGAAACATTTCATTAAGCTGAACTTCAACGATCTCAACACTTCATTCCCAAATAGTGCTATGTAGGTTTCTAGTGAGGGACAAGGTCATTCTTCACAATCACAAAGCCATCACCTCGGAAGCCCGCCAAGGTGGGGTCGTGGTCTACTCATGGTGCACCCTGTAGAGAATTTCATATCAAAATGAACCGTCAGGTGGCATTATATCCTTACCATCACCCTCTGCTGGCAATTTGAACAGGATCAGGGATAAGGCGCTCTCCTGCCAACCTCCAGTCAGCGTACATTTAAATTGATAAAATAGTAGTCTCATATATAATACCCAAATTCAAAGTTCTCCAACTGCCCCCCCCTTTTTTATAGCTTTTTCTTTTTTTTTTTTTTTTACACATATTTCTCTTTTTTTGGTACCAGGAACTGAAGCCAGGACCTTGTGCTTGCCAGACAGGTGCTTATGCCAGAGCTATATCCCTGGCCCTTTTTCTTTTTTTAAATCCAGGATTCAAACAAAGATCATGCATTGCATTTTTTTTTTTTTCTGTTCATCAGTCTAGACCAGTCTTTTATAGCACTGACTTATTGGTGGTGGTGGTGGTGGTACTGGGGCTTGAACCCACGGCCTTCCACAGAGCTACATCCCCAACCTGTCTTGCCTTCCTCTTCCCCTCTTTTTTCCATCTTTTCTTCATTCCTCTTCCTACTGGAAACTGAACACAGGGCCTACAGATACATCCCAGTCCTTTTTAAATTTTGAGACAGGGTCTCTTGCTAACTCACTAGGTTGCCCCAGTTTCAGCTTGAACTTGCAGTCTTCCTGCCTCAGTCTCCCAGAGTGCTGGGGTTGGAGGCATGTGGCACCACACCCGGCTTGGTCTTGACATTTTTGAAGAGTACAGGCTAGTTGTCCTGTAGAATATGCCACTTTTTCTGTTTGTGTGACTTAATTTCCTCATGACTGATTTAGGTCAAGCAGGTCTAGGACAAATACCAACAGTGTGTGCCTTTTAACTTGCCACAGTCTTCATTCACAGCAGCCTTGCTTGAGCAGATGAGGCTTGCCACACTGAGGACCTTGTAATAATCATACAACTAGCAAGCAGAAGAGCCGGGATTCCGGAACTTTGCAACTGCGCTGGTGGTGCCTCCCTGAGGGCCAACAGTAATAGCATGAATTTGAAAGTGGCAGAGGAGAACCCCTAATGTTGCCTACTGTTTATCTTTCCCGGAGAGCAATCCATCCCTTTCATCAGATAATCTAAGATATAAGTGATCCCTGTGCACTACGCCCTTCTTCCAGGCCCCAAATCTTTGTGGTCTCAGCTGATGGGAAATGAGCTAGAACTAGCTTCACTGTCCAGGGCAGGGGGCAGGGCCAGTGTCCACCCAGAGCTGAGACACCAGGTGACGTTGAGAAGGAAGCAACCCACAAGCCACCCCTTTTGTTCCTACAGTGGAGTTCCAGGTGACAACAGTGTCCCAATCCCTGAATTTCCTACTGGGCTCTTCAGCTTCCCTGGACTGTGTCTTCTCGATGGCACCAGGCCTGGACCTCCTCAGCGTGGACTGGCGGCTGCAGCACCAGGGCAGTGGCCAGCTAGTATACAAATGGAAAACAGGGCAGGGGCAGGCCAAGCGGGAGGGAGCCAGCCTACAGCCCGAGCAGCTACTCAGGGCAGGGGACGCCTCCCTCACCCTGCCCAGCCTCAGTCTGAAGGATGAGGGTACCTACATTTGCCAGATTACTACCTCTCTGTACCAAGCTCAGCAAAACATCCAGCTCAACATCCAAGGTGAGGCCAAGGCTTGGTCAAGGTGGGGGGGGTGGGGTAAACACCTGTTAGGATTGTTTCCCAGATGGGAAAATATGAGGGCAATATGATGCAAATACAAGGGCATCTCCTGAGGCAGGCCACACTTCCCTGGCTACATGCCACATTCATTGTAGCAGACAGATGGCCTCAAATAAGTGTCTCCTGGGTCCCCACATAACTCCACCAGGAGCTATCTAGCCAGGATCCTGCTGTCCTGCCCTGGCCAGCCACCTGCAATCACCCCAGTCCTTTTGCACCACATCCTTAGAAGCAGCAGGGGACAAAGAAGGGGTGGAGGGAATAATTCTGACCAAGAGGAAAATTTTACCTCTGATTTCCTTTAAAGCTACCAACTTGTAGTGACAAGAAGCAAGTCCAGGGGCTGGGGGTGTAGCTCAGCAGTGGAGCCCTTGCCCAACGTAAGTGAGGCCCGAGGTTTCACTCCTATATTGCCAAAAATAGAGGAAGAGAAAAGCCATTTCTGTGACCTTCCCAGAAAAGGTAATTACAGCCAGCATCTAAGGACACCCCTCACACTTCCACCCCTTGGAACAACACTGAAGAAACTGTGGCCTCCATATCCTCCCTCAGTGGCTTCAGGCTCAGACTCCCCTGTTGACCCCAGTTGGACCCCTCACGATTCTTATCCCTCATTCTTTTCCTAGCTTCCCCCAAGGTAGAGCTGAGCTTGGCAGACAGTGCCCCACTGCCCACCCTCACCTGCAAAGTCACTGGCTATTATCCTCTGGATGTGGTGGTCACATGGATCCGAGAAGAGGAGAGCAGAGCCCCAGTCCAAGTCTCTGGTGCCTCCTTCTCCAGCCTCAGGCAAAGCATGGCAGGCACCTACAGCATTTCCTCCTACCTGATTGCAGACCCCGGCCCGACAGGTGCCACTTACACCTGCCAGGTTACCCACATCTCCCTGGAGCAGCCGCTCACAGTCAGCACCAGGATTGTACCAAATGCAGGTACTGAATATGTCCTCCTCGTCCTACCTTGTGTATGGGCTCCTGGAGCTCCTGCCCCCAGCTGTCTGTAGCCCTGTGCTGCTACCCACGTGCTTAGCCAGTCCCAGCCTTTTCATGTTCCTGCCCTGTTCTGGCTTTCCCAAAGCAACAGCTTCCCCCACATGTTCCACCTCAGCCTTCAGAAGGCCAGGCACTGTGGGTGGGAAAGTCAAGATGGATGGGCTCCTGATCCTGCCCTCCAGAAGCTTAGTCCCACTCTGAGATGAAACTAGGGAGGCAGTGGGGGACACTGCAGGTGGCCAGCTGAGGGGAAGGGACACTGTCAGATGGAAAGAACAGCAAATGGAAAGATCAAATTGTAAAATACATGCAGAAAACTTAAGGAACTGCAAGTCGTTTAGTACAAGTAGAGCCAAGAGTAATGTGAAGAAAGAAGCTTGAAACTTTAGACATAATTGTATTTATTAAACATGAATTGAATACTATATTAAGCACTTATATTTTAAGTATAATCTTCCATTTCACTTTTTTTTGTCTTGAAAAAGGGTCTCACTATGCGGTTCAGGCTGGCCTGGGGCTCACTTTGTAGCCCAGGCTGGTCTCAAGTTTGCAACGATCCACCTGCCTCAGCTTCCCAAGTGCTGGGATTACAGGCATGAGCCACCATTCCTGGCCCCATTTCACTTATTTTTTGAGACAGGATCTCACTATGTTGCTCAGGTTGGCCTTAAACTCCTGGGCTCAAGTCATCTTCCACCTCAACCTCCCAAGTAGCAGGGACCTGAAGTGTGCACCGTAGTGTGCAACTCCAGGAAGCTGGCATTCACAGATGTTAAATAATGTGCCAGGTTACCTACCAGTAAGTGGTAAAAGAGAAAAACAGGCAATTTGACTCCCTTTATAGGCTCAAACCTTGTAATCTCAATGGGCCTTAAAAATGGAATGTCACCCTGAAAGCCACTGGATGCTGCTGAAAGGGGACACAAAAGAAAGGATCTGCACCTCAGAAGACAGGCGTCCAGGAACATGGGGCAGTATCAGGTTGCTCACTAGAGTGCATTTCTCCAAAACTGGACTTTGCATCAATGTTCCGAGTTATTTGTCAAGTTCAGTTTAACTGTCAGTGACTGACAACTCTGAGCCTCTCACAAGCAGTTTCTGAGATGCCGTCATGAGGGAAGAGGCAGGAGTGTGTGTAACAGGAACACCTGGTGCCTACTCATGAACGAGTACTGTGTGCACAGCTCCGGCTCCTCCCCAGGGTGTACACATACACGCACACGCACACGCACACACACGCACACACACCTTGCTCAGCACAGGGGATGAGCCCTGCCTCTGCTGCTCTCCCTACAGAGTGGGAAATGGTCATCGGAGTCCTCCTTGCCAGCTGCATCTTCCTGCTTGCACTGTTGTTCCTGTGGCTTCAGAGACGGCAAGGTGAGTGCCCAAGTCCTGAGCTCCGACTTCTGACCCACCTGACCTGTAGATCAGCTCCCTCTGAGCACTAACCCCATCCAGACAGGGATGCAACTCAGACACCTGTGTTGCAGATGCCCCTGCCACCAGCCATCCCAGACAGCCTCTTGCTGTTAGGGTGACCCCAAGTGAATTCTACCCTGTTCCCTGTTTTTTCTTAGCTTCTTCAACAAAGTTTTTCAAGACCCTGAAGCATTCGGAGTAGCCACTCTCCAGGCTCAGCATGACCTTGTTCTCCAGCATCACCACAGCACAGCTGGGAAGGCCTTCAGGAGGTGCCAGAACTGAGGGCGGGCCCTGGCCCTGAGCAGGCTCCATCTTTCTGCACTGTGTGCCTTGGGCCACTGATCAAGGCAGAGAAGGGGAAGAGGTGAGGGGCAACAGGAAGCCAGAACATCTGGGTGGAGCTGACATTAAAGGGCCACATCTGAGGTAGGTGGTAGGAAAAAAGAACTAAAAGAAGCAGAGGAAAAGGTGAAGGACAGCAGGCCCAGGCGGGGACAGGGCCAGCCCTCACAAACAGAACTGTGTCAAAATAAAAGCTCCTTGAGTCTACTGAGGCAAAGCTTCTCCATTCCCTGTCTTTCATTGCTGGTTCTAACTTAGGCCTATCCCGAGTCACAGCTGTTCCTATTTGCAAAGTGTTTGAAGTTGTGAAACGCAAGTCCTCAGAGGCAAACCAGGGCTCGGTCTGTGTTGCTGCATGTAGCCCTGAGCTGTAATTGAGTCCTGCTCCTTCAGATGGTTGCTAGAATTGCAGGAAACCTGTAAATCCTCACTCCATCAGCAAGACGGGCATCTCCTCTTACTCATTGCTACAATATGCTGGGTCAGCAGTGGAACTCCCTAGCAAACAGCGGGCAAGGGCGGGGAAAGGAGTTGTATGCTAGAGGCCTTATCTGGGCACGTCCCCAGGGACAGAACGAAGCAGGCTAGGGACCAGCAAGGAGGCAGCGTGGGAGGCCTGAGAAAGTCTGAGCTGTTTGCTGTGAGAGATACCCACTCGACTTCCTGTTATCACTTCCTCTCACCAGTACCTGCGAGAGCTGGGCTGCTTCAGGTACAAACACCGTGAGCAAAGACCACTTCCTCTGCCAACACAATACCACAGCACACACAAGCCACCCTTCCTGCCCGCAGCCGTATGGACCGTGAGGAAGAAACAACATGCTGGGGCTGGGGATTTAGCTCAGCGGCATAAGCACCTGCCTTGCAATCATGTAATCATCAGTTCGATCCCTGGTACCAAAAAAAAACAAAAGAAAGAAACAACGTGCCCCTCCTCTCCCTCCCGTTACTCCAGCCCAAACAATAACGGAGTCAGTTGAGTGGTAGGAATTTGTATTTTTTGCTTTTGTTCAGAATACATGAAATTGGTAAATATTCCACATGCCTTTGGTGGAAGTACAACTGTTATTATTCTATACAAGTATGAGATTGGGGTTAGGAAAAAAGACAAAGAGGTAATGACAGACACACAGTGGAAACCCACATCATCTCATGGCAAACCAAAGAAGGGAATGTGGGGAGCTCGGCTTCATTTGAGTGCAGAGTCCTGGGGTTTAGCTGCATATCTGCTCATGCACATGGGGAGTGGGAGGGAAGAAGAAACAGCGAAGACACAGAAGAGGTGCAGGATAGGATGAGAAAGAAAGTAGAAGGACCAACACCCCCACAAGAACAGAGCCAGCTACACCTGGTAAGAGACAGAAACCCAGGAAATAATCCCATGCTAAGGCTGGTGGGCCAAGAGGGTGGATTTGCTCCAGGCTTGGGACACATCCAGGACAGTGGTGGTTCTTCTCCAGCGGTGAGCCCTACATTAGGCAAGGAGGAGCCCAGAGGAGAATGAAGACCTTCGAGGGGACGCTGGGAGGGTGCACTGACTGCTCTCTTCCAGCTCTTCAGTCCCGCCCTGGGGCAGGACAAAGGGAATTTGGGGAAGCAGGGACGGAGGGAAAGGAAGGATGGTTTGCACAATGAAATGCTGCTGCATGGAAAGTAGCATCTGGGTCCAGCCTACTGTGGCCTCAGCCTCTGCCTGCTTGTGCACCAGCGGACAGAAGGCACCACAGTCAAGGGTATTCCCTTCCTATTCCCAGTCTGCCCTCTCCCTGCAGCACCTGGGTTTTTCTTATCCTGAAGCTCAGCAACAGCTCCCAGGAGTTGCAAGGTGGCACACACACCTATAAATCTCAGCACTCGGAGAGGCTGAGGCAGGAAAATCACAAGTTCAAGCCTAGCCTGGCTCAGCAAGGCTCTTTCTCAAAATACAAAATTACAGAAAGGGCTGGGAAGTGTAGCTCACTGCAAAGGCCCTGGGTTCAATCCCCTGTACCACCAAAAAAAGAAAAATCCCAGAATAGGCTGAGCAGCTCCCATCCTCAGGTTGCTCAGGTTGTACAATCTATTTAACAAAACATGCAAAGAGGAGGAACAGAAAGGAGGCATATGGATTTGGACAGGTGAGGGTGCTTCAGAAGAAGAATGCACTTTGGAAAAGAACAGTCAGGCAGCTCTGGGGCAAGGGCCCTGTGAAATACACATGCACGCCTAGCGCTGACTGCACTGCTTGTACCCTGAGACTGAGTTGCTACACTTCCCTAAACCCTCTGGATCAGCCTGAGGAAGGACCTCTTGCCATGTGTCTGTCTTAAGTACCTGGGGCAGCGCAGAAGAAGGTGTTTGATAGGAGTCGAAGGAGCTCGCCTCTTAACACTCTCACATTCCTTTATCAGTTAGGAAGGAACTGGGCCTGCCTTTGCAAGACTGCAAGAAGCTGATTCCTGTACACTTGTTATTTTCAAATTAGGCTTTCAACTCACTTTTTCTATTAACAGGCATCCTCTCTATACACCAAGAATAAAAAATGACTTCAGAGTCCCGACTTTAGCCAGATCAACTTTCCTGACGCCCTCATGAACAACACAGGGCGTTGCAGAAAACATACAGAGACAGTGTCTTCTAGTAGAAGCAAATAGGACTGTTTCTAAAACAGACTTCTGGCATGTTTTACAATCAATAAAGACTTGTTTTCCAGACCTGTAGGGAACAAAGTACATAGCTGGAAGATCCCCCAAAGAAATAGAAAATCTTGAACCAACAGATTAGCAATGACTACAAAAAACAGGCCTGACTTTCTAAAAGGGTATTGCATCAGGACCTGCTGGTCCCTGGGCCCCTTCTGTAGGATCCAATGAGGGCTGCACAGGGCAAGTCACCACTTTCCCATCTGCTCACAGTCCCTTCCTGGCAGCAGCCGGCCTTTCTAGGAGATGCCAAGAGCACCAATACACTTCTCCTGCCACCAACCTTGCCAGCATCTTGGGCTCTTTACCTCGATCTTTCCCCTGCCTCTGCCTTTGGCTACTGACTCTTTCTGGCTTTGGAGGAGCATGAAAGGACATAAGAAAGGGATAGGGAGGAGGTGCCAGCTGTTGCTCTTCAGGTGATGATTTCAAGACTTCGCCATGAGCAGCATTTCTAGTGTTGAGGGCCAGAGTGCAAATGAGTACAACCAAAAAGGAGTAATGAATGATGGGAAGCCCGGGCTGGGATGCAGGAAGGCAGATGGGAAGTGGTTGAGAGCAAACAGAAGGAGAAGGACATGAGCTCAGATGGTAATGGAGAACAGGGAAGGGATGGCACATTCTTAAGTAAAAAAGTAGACTGGACACAGGAATCAGGAAGTCCCAGATGGAGAAGAGAGAGACAGGAGAAAACAAGAGGGCAAGTTACATCAAGTTACCAGACAAGCAGGCCTTCCAGTTGCAAGTGTCCCAGCCCCACAGTTTCCCTCTGACCCAAGCCAGTGACAAACAGCACAGCCCCGCTCCCTTGGAGCAGGGGGAAGACTTGTCCACCAAGAAAGTTCCCTGGTTCAGCCCTTCCCCCCTCCAGAGCCCATGATAATCCCACAGCAGCGGTCTCCATACCTCAGTCAGAGCAGCCCCACTCCCCAGGCAGGCAGGCAGGCAGGCAGGGCTGGGAGAAGACTCCGGGACATTCCCACCTCTTCACCCCATCAGCAGCCTCAGCGATACTTACTTACAATAACTACCACGATGATGGCACAGATAGCTCCCAGCATGATCATCATCTGAGGAAACATGGACCACACATGAGCCCTTGGACTTGGGACAGGAGAACAGAAACCAGAACCACAGATGTGGAAACTGACCTTCCTCCATCCTTAGGACAGTGGAAGATGCTACCCATCACTCAGAAAACCCGCAGGCCTGTGAGAAGGGCCCACCTCTCTGCTTCCCACAGGACTGAAAGCCCAGCACCATGTTGGCAGCTCTTCAGGAACAGCACAGAGTGGGCATCGGGGCCTTTTTTGCTCAGTTCCTTCTGTCGAGGGACTTCACAAGGAAATCTAATGGAAATGTACATGTTGGATCTTTATTTAGTTGGTTTGGCTTTCACTGTGAAGAATTTAGTGCCTTGTCAGAAAATGCAGATATTTTAACCCTGTGCTAGCGTTTTGCTGTTGGGTGTGCCTGAGGAAGGGCCATGGAAGAATTCTTACAGGAGACTACTACGGGCAAAAGCATCTAATCCATTCTAAACTTCTCAGGGTAGCACTTTCTGAGTGGTTCTTAACACTCTAGCCTACCCTGGTGGCCAACATGGGTATTCATCTCTCAACAATGAGCACTCACTTTCCTCCCAAGAATCATGCAGGGCGGGGATCTGGCACCATAAGTGGGAAAGACTGTAGCGGTCAAGGATTTTCTTGCCTTTTACAAGTGGAAGCCCAGGAAAAGAAAGCGGAGAGGATAAGGAAACTCACCTTGCAGTTTTTCCACCAATACTTCCTCTTTAGCTTGGCAGCACTGCTCTCAAACTGTGAGGCTCCCGCCTGTAAGGCGTCAGCTCGGTCATCCAGCTCTGACAGCTTCTGGTCCCTCTCCAAGACCTTGTCCACATTCACACGCATGATATCCACCACCTGTGAGGTGTGCACAGACACAGCGGCTAAGTTTCCTGCTAGAGATGGAAAAGAATATCTAGAGGATCACAAGTCTAGACCTGTGTAACTAAGGAATGCTTTATCTCCAGAGCTTTTAACCATCTCTCTATTAAAAAAAAAAAAAAAAGAGAGAGAGAGAGAACAGACAAGATGCTCCCTTATTTCTGAACTCCTGTGGTTAGAAACTCTCCGAGAAACATATATACACCTACCTCCTCCACTTGTGCCTGGGTTTGCTGTAGTCGTCTGTTGCTGGTCATGTTGGGAGGAGGGCCAGGAGGACCCCCACCGGGGGCAGCCCCTTCTGTCCCTTCAGCTGGTGGCTGAGCAGGAGCAGACCTAAGAAGTGGAGAGTACACAAAGTAACCAAGTGGAGAAAGGAATGGCAAGCATGCTCAACAACGCAACTGTGAGTAGGTTCTCTTCTGTTAATGATAGGGATTCTAGCCCCTTGGCAAGTCCAAGTAGGGAAAGGCCACATACAGGCCAAAGCCAAAGAGGAAAGAATATGTAACAGCTTTCAGATGGAGCTCAGTGTCATTATAAGATCTTGTTTGGGGATAGCCCCTGACCCAAACTCTAACACAATGGCTACAGGGACTACCCTTGACCTAAATAGCACTTGTCTGGCTGTCAGAAGCCTTCACATGAAGCAAAATGGGAAAACCCAATCCAGAGCAGGAGAAAAGACTAAATCCTCAGGACAAGCCAATGAACTAAATTGCAAAGCATGATTATACAAGGCAGAGGCAAACTGACAGACACTGCTTATGAGGATACAGTTATTGATTGCGTTTCATGCAGTGATTAGTAGTAGTTCAGGGCTGCTATAACCACAGCTTGGAAGATCACCAACAGCAAATCTACGCAGACAGACTGAGTCAGCCTACACAGATGGACTGAGTCAGGACTGTTTGTTTGTACTGTTTTTGGCAAAGAAAACAGGAGTTGCACTTATATTGAATCTGGGGTCCAAAATAATTACATTAGGAATGCAAACTGTTCCAAGTGTACAGGCAGGAAGTTAAAAATGCTACAAATAGTGTTTAGTGGACATGCATCATTGACATTCTGTCCCTTCCTTTTCTAGATCTGGCAGAATCTCAAGGAACACCCCTAGTTCCCTACATTCCATAGAGAAATTATGGTTTTTGTTTAGGCTACTGTATACACATAGTGATTTTTCTCTCTTTCAGTATCACTTACGGCTTCAGGATATCTTAGGTTTAAGGAGGGAATCATTCAATGTAATGTCAAAGTAAACTTTTCTCTATAATCCAAGATATGAAGGCTAAATTCACCTGTTAACAAATTCCCAGATGCTAACCTAAAAGATGAGGTTTTCTCTGACAAGGGAAAAAATATAGGCAGGGGCAGAGGATTGCTACAATTTTCTGGAGAGCACAGATTTCCTTAGGAACCCCTAAAGGAAAAGTAGAGCCTCATTAAACACACTTCACTAGAACAGTCCAAGAACAAAAGCACTAGAGGTTAAACCATCACAAAGAAAGGAGAGTCCCTGGCTAATACCATAAAACTAATACTTAGAAGTTCCTCTGTCCTAAATGAATTCCTTTCAGCCTTAAAAAAAATGGACTATAATCCCTCAAAAAGGTCTTGCTAGCAGATTATTCTGACTTATTCCCACTTAAGGAGTCATTTTCATGTTTCCCTGCAAGGCACAGACAAGGCAAGGGGAAAAAAGACACAATGCTAAGGGCCTAAGACTATTGCTGTGCTACTGTGCTAACTAAGCATTCTAGATCCAGACTGAAGGTGGAAATCTCAATGAGTAGTGAGCATCCAGTGTTGGAAGAAGTCCAGGATGGTGGCACCAATGACAAGATTAAGGTCAGAGACCTCGTGATCCCCTGCTAGCCACCATGCCTTCTCCATCTCCTTCTGTTCATCTCACATGGGCGCTGTATGGAATCAGTCAGCTGAGAAGGGTCCCTGGCCCCAAAACAAAAGCAACTGAACTTAGCAGTTGTCCAACATGCACAGACTAGCACCTATAGTTAAACCTAAGAAATCCAAGAGAAATGGCTATATACATATTTCGAGGGGCTCACTTCACTTACTACTTGTTGGGAATTAGAAGCGCTCAGCAATAACATATCCAGCGATAGTTACAACTCTTATGTAACACCAGTAAATCTTTCCTCGTATTTGTTACTAAGAGAAGCAACAGAAACACATCTAGGACGTGGCCACTGCTCCAGCTAGCAACCAAAAAGAAAAATTTCTATTAAATGCATTGTGCTCCTGACAGAGAAGTACTTAATATAGCCTAGCTCTCCTGCAGGAACTTGGGAAGAGGACAATGCTGAAGATGTCTAGAAACTAAACTGTGTATTGGAAGAAAGAGGCAATGTTAAGTTACTCCTCCAAATACTTGCCTCGGACTTGACTGTAAATCACCACATAGAAGAGTGGTCTTGGGATGAACACGCGATGCCGTACCACCGTCCCTCTGTCTTACGGAGGGGCGCAGCTGGCACCAGACAACTGGCACTAAGTTTCTGGAGCTCTGCACCTCCCACGAGGGGTAAGTCTCAGTTTGGATGAGGGGCATGCACGCATCTAGAGACTGCAGGGCTGGCTCAAAATACAGACTCAAATGACCAGAAAGGGTCTTTCAAGCACCCCGCTTCTCCCTGGTCCCCTTCACCTCTCTGGGGGTTTCAGTACACGAGATCAGAAGCAAACACCAAGCAGACAAAAGGTGAGGGTGCCGTGAACGTGGGACCCCCGCCTCCCTGCCTGGCCCGGGGTGTAGCTGTGGCTGGTGCAGGAAGGGGGTGCTGCCCCTCCCGGGTGGGCCGGCGCGGCCGTACTTCCCCGCGTCGCCGCAGCTGCTGCAATGCGCCATTTTCCGTCCCGCAGAGTCCGGCGCTGGGGGTGAGAGTTGGTAAAGACGTGTCCAGCCCCTCCACTAGAGTCAACTCACATTTTTCTGACAGAGTGTGTAGGGGTCCGTCCCCTCTCGGGATGCTGCGGCGAGACACCCGGCGGGAAGACGCTGCAGTTAAAGCGGAGGGAACCGCTGAGCTCCGCCTCTCGTAAGCTACCCGGAGATCTAGCTGCGGCGGGACTTACTGCGGCTGACTCGCCGGTCCTCGGCTTTATTAGTGATGGCCACGCCCCCAGATTACGTTACGACCTCGCCGTCCAATCCACGCCCGGAATGGGCGGACTTCCAAATCCAGATATGCTGGTGCGCCTCGCCCTTGCAGTTGTGCCAATCATAGTTCTCCTCTTATTTCGAGTCAAGAAAGGAGCGGTTGCGGTGAGGGCCCTCCAACTGACCTATGCCACTGTAGTTTGCTTACCTGGCTAGCTCAGAGGCCGGGCAGAGTAGTAACGGACCGGACCTCTCTAGGACTGCCTTGACAATTGAGTTAGGGCTTTTTGGTGCTTGCTAGCCAATTGCTGGACAGCTCCTGAGCTCGGGCCCGCCCACCGCAGGCGGCTCCGGCCAATCACGCCGCTCCTGCCGACAGCCGCGGGCTGATCTGGATAGAGTTTGGCCCGCTGGAGTCTTGGCTGGCAGTGTCCCGGACCCGCGCGGACTCCACCCAACTCCCACAGCTGGCCACAGCCCTGAGGACGCAGAACCCACGAAACCAAGCCATCGCCGGACCCCTAGGTCCGGGCGTGCGCCTTCCTCCGACAGACCAAAGCTAGTATAAAGGATTCGTTCGTCCAAGTGTTTCAGTATAACCCATCCTAAATTGAATGCTCGAGACCTGCTTCTCTGTCCCTAAATCAGGAAAGCTTCCTAGATTTAACCCCCCCCACACACACACACCCCGTTTCCTTGCTTTTCCCCCAAGAATTCACTAACTCGAGTTGATCTTTTTCCTCCTAATACTTAAGAATTTTCTTTTCTCTCACGATTACCCCTTCCCGATCATCAGTTGTAAAACGTACCATTATTTATACCTTGTTTTTAAAAAGTTACAAATAAATTGTAACTGTGAGTTTTATTTTACATTTATTGAAAGCATAGGTTTATATACATATGAATTTTTATCGTTTTGTTCTTGTACTTACAAAAAAGGAAAACACATGGAAACAATGTATGCACATTTTCATAGGCAAAGTCTGATTTTTAATGTTTCCTTTTTGACTCGGTTTTGGATACCTCGAGTTCCCATATGCTGTGGTTCTGTGTGTGCCATCAGAAGCTTTAGTGATACAGCATTTCCAAACAGTGTTCTTCTGTCTCTGGAATTTTCTTCCAAACTTCAGTCACCCGTTTTGCAAGTTTTGATGCTCATGAGCAGCTATGACAAATCCAGTATGATTGCTGACTAACACCTACAATTTGGGAATTGCCAAAAGAGAGGGAGAAAGATGCCTTTTATAATCAATTAAGTATAATTGATCCCATTCCTTTTCTTCCTCGTGTCTCTAAGAAGCCAAAGGGATGATCTATTCAAACATCACAACCCTGTTTAACATCCTTAAACAGTAGCTGTTACAAACACCCTGTATTAATCATGTATTTACCCGTCCTTCTCCTGCAGCCTCATCTAAATGACAATTTGTAAAAATTGAAAACAATTTATAAGCCCTTGATGCCAATAGGAATGAGAAGACATGTTTCTAGCATTATAAACACCTATGTGTTACCAGCATTTCTACCCTGGAAAAATTTTAAATTGCTGAATTTTTTTAAATTTCAGGTTTTTTCCTTTTCTTTTTTCTTTTATTTATTTATTTACTATTTTCTTTTTTGGTACTGGGAATTGAACTCAGGGTCTCGCGCTTGCCAGGCAGGTGCTGCACCGCTAAGCTATATCCCCAAATTATTTTTAAAGATTTTTTTATTTTCAAATAATTATTCACATGATATGGCAAAAAGAAAAGTTCAGGGGCTGGGGATTTAACTCAGCGGCATAAGTGCCTGCCTTGCAAGCAGGCAGTCGTGAGTTCGATCCCCGGTACTGATAAAAAAGAAAAAGACAAAAAAAAAAAAAAAAAAGAAAGAAAGAAAGAAAGAAAAGAAAAGTTCAGGGAGGTTCCCCTAAGCTGTTTACTCCACTCCCCCAACAGTAACATTTTTATAAGTATGATGAAATATTAAACCAGGAAACTGGTATTGATGCAATAATTTATCTGGAATTCATCAGTTTTACAGACAGCCATTTTTGTTTGCTATGTATAGTTTATGCAATATATCACCTGTAGATATGTGTGCATTCATCACCACAGTCAGGATGCCGAACTATTGCCTTAAAACAGGGCTCCCTTATGCTACTTCTTTATAGTCATCCTATCCCTAGCCCTGTCCCTTAGCAGTGCTAATTTCTCTCCCCCTCTATAACTTGGTTTTTGTTATGTAAATGTATTATATCATGTCTAACCTTTTGAGATTGTCTGGTTTTTTTTTTTTCATTCAACATAATAATTTTTGAAAACCAGGTAGATGGCTCACATCTGTAATTCCACCACTCCAGGAGGTTAGAGCAGAGGGATCACAAATTTGAGGCCTACTGAGCACCTTTGTAATTTAGTGAGACCAAGTCCTAAATAAATAAACACTGCTTGGGCTGTAGCTCAATAGGAAAGTCATGGGTTCAAACCCAAATACTTAAGGGGAAGAGGGAGGCACTTGAGACCCATCGAAGTTATCAGTAGTTTCCACTGCTGAGTAATACTGTATTCCACAATATGGACATTGTTTAGTCATTTGCCAAATGAAGGTAAATTTTTAAAAATGTTTTAACTATTCTAGGTCTTTTGACTAAAAGGGCATTTCTTGGGGCTGGGGATTTAGCTCAGCGGCATAAGTGCCTGCCTTGCAAGCAGGTAGTCGTGAGTTCGATCCCTGGTACCAATAAAAAGGAAAACGACAAAAAAAAAAAAAAAATGGCATTTCTTTTCTTTTTTTTTATGGTTTTTGTTTTGTTTTATTTTTTGAGACAGGATCTTACTATGTAGCCAAGGTTGGCCTCAAAAATCACAGTGATCCTCCTGTCTTAGCCCTCTCAAGAGCTAGGATTACAAAAAAAAAAAAAAAAAAAAAAGAGCTAGGATTACAGGAAAAGGACATTTTCCAAATGTAGTTATGAGCTGACAAGAAAGCAAACACTAGTGTGATAGCATATACCTATAATCCCAGGATTTAGGGGTTTAGGCAGGAGGATCACTATGAATTAAGGCCAGCCTAGGGTACATGACAAGACTGTGTCTCAAAAAGACAAAAAAAAAAAAAAAAAAAAAAAGAAAGAAAGAAAGAAAAGAAATTTGAAGAAAGTAAACAGTAACTGAAGACCAGTAAGCTACCACAGAGGTAGCAGAGAATTGAATTTGAGCATGGTAGCTTCAACAGGATGCTACCATGGCACAGAAGATAAAGTCTAAGACTTCCTCAAAGTAGGAAATCTAGCTGGGTATGGTGGCTTATGCCTATAATCTCGACACATGGGAGGCTAGAGCTAGAGGATCACTGCAAATGAGGCCAGCCTGAACTGGCCAGCCAAACACTGTCTCAAAAAAAGCGGGACAGGGGAGAATCTAATAGACCCTACCATCATAAAGCTGGAATCCTACAGAGCATATCATCATGTAAAAGTAGATTAAAAATATTCAGGCAACCAAACTGTCCCTAGAGAACTGTATCATAGACAATTATTTGTTTGGGAGTCAGATATCTAGTGGAACTTCTTAATTTTTTTTATTTTAAATATTTACAGAGACAGTTGGGCATGATGGTACATGTCTGTAATTCCAGCACTTTGGGGGCTGAGGCAGGAGGCTTGTTGCAAGTTCAAGACAGTTTGGGCTACAAACTGAGCTCAAGGCCAGCCTGAACAGCATAGTGAGATTCTTGTCACTAAAGACTATATATATATATATATATATATATATATATATATATATGGAGAATTTATAACTCCATACTGTTTCATTCTGCCTGAATGACTTGTTTTATTCTTTTGGGGAGGGGCTTTGAGAATCTTTTCTCCTTCCTATAAACATAATGACAAGAATTGAAAGTGTTTGGGGGTTGGTGGTACCACCAAGCACCCAGCAGAAGCAATGTTAAGTCCTCCCAGGATAGATTCATCTTTAATCTAGGCCTTGGGAATTTCCGTAGAGACCATGCCAAGAGAAATAAATTGTGATCCAAAATTGAGCACAAGTAAGGAACAAAAATACCAGAGTAAGTGCCAATACAGCTGGAGGCAGGAAATAAGAAAGTTAGAAAACCAAGCCCAAGAGTCCAATGTCTGATTAATAAAGGATCTAAAAGAAGAGAGCAGGATATGTGAGGCAAAGAAAGACAAAATATTTGTGAGTGTGATTAATTATAAAAGAAATAAAAGAAAATTTCCTGAATTGAATGAGCCTTTGCAGGTTAGAGGGTGTAGTATGTGTCTAGCACAATGAAAGAAAAATAATCACATCAAAACTCATCTCTTGAGTTGGGCATGGAGGCGCACGCCTGTAATTCCAGCACTCAGGAGGCCGAGGCAGGGGGTACTACAAGTTCGAGGACAGCCTGGTCTACATGGTGAGTCCAACGCCAACTTGAACTACATAGTAATACTCTGTCTCAAACAAAATAAAACAAAACAAAACTCGTCTTTCACTGTATGTGGTAACCTTGTGAAATTCCCAGGTTCAATCCCCAGAATCCCTCAAAAATACTAGAGAGAAATACTAGAGAGATCTTAACATGTCAAAAAGAAAATAAAAAACAGGAAGAAAATTTAAAAATCTGAATAACATTTCAACACAAGACTAAAAGATAGAACAATGTGTCAGTGCCTTTAAAGTTCTGAAGAAAATGATTATTAACCTAGATTTCTCTAACAGCCAAACTGTCAATAAAAGATGAGTATGAAATAAAGACCTCCTCCAGATATGTAAATAATCAAAAATGTTACCTCTTTTTTCTTTTTCCAAATCCATTTTATTTCAAGAAGAAGAAAAAAAAATTACATCAAAATTTTAAAACACATCAATCAGGGGGCAACAATGGTATATGTGTTGCACATTATCATCTGTCTCTGTTTTTAAGTAGGCTAGTAGAAGATGGGCTCTGATAAATTGGAAAGGAAAAGGCAATAGCTAGCCAGGCTTGGTGTGCACATCTGTAATCCCAGCACTCGGGAGGCTGA